AAATCTGTCCATTTCTTTAAGATTTTCAAATTTATTTGAATATAGGTTCTCAAAGTAGTCTCTGATGATTTCCTGGACTTCCATGGTGTTTGTTGTTATCTCCCCTTTTGCATTCCTATTCTACTAATTTGGGTTTTTTCTCTCCTCATTTTAGTCAGGTTTGCCAGGGGTCTATCGATCTTGTTTATTTTTTCAAAGAACCAACTTTTTGTTTCATTAATTCTTTGTATGGTTTTTTTGGTTTCTATTTCGTTGATTTCAGCTCTTATTTTTATTATTTCTCTCCTTCTATTTGTTTTGGGATTTGCTTGTTCTTGTTTTTCTAGGAGTTTGAGATGTATCATTAGGTCATTGATTTGGGATCTTTCAATCTTTTTAATATATGCACTCATGGCTATAAACTTTCCTCTCAAGACTGCCTTAGCTGTGTCCCATAGGTTCGGTAGGTTGTGTTTTCATTTTCATTGACTTCCAGGAACTTTTTAATTTCCTCTTTTATTGCATCGATGATCCATTCTTCATTAAGTAATGAGTTATTTAGTTTCCAGCTGTTTGCATGTTTTTTGTCTTTACTTTTGTTGTTGAGTTCTACTTTTACTGCATTGTGGTCAGATAGTATGCACGGTATTATTTCTATTTTCTTATATTTGCTGAGGCTTGCTTTGTGCCCTAGGATATGATCTATTTTGGAGAAGGTTCCATGGGCTGCTGAGAAGAATGTATATTGTGTAGAGGTTGGATGAAATGTTCTGTAGACATCTACTAGGTCCATTGATCTATTGCATATTTTAGATCTTGGATTTCTTTATTGAGTTTTTGTTTGGATGACCTATCTATTGATGATAATGGAGTGTTAAAGTCTCCCACAACCACTGTGTTGGCGTTTATATATGCTTTTAGGTCTTTCAGGGTATGTTTGATGAAATTGGGTGCGTTGACATTGGGTGCATACAGATTGATGATTATTATTTCCTTTTGGTCTATTTCCCCTTTTATTAGTATGGAATGTCCTTCTTTATCTCGTTTGATCAATGTAGTTTGAAGTCTACTTTGTCAGAGATAAGTATTGCTACTCCTGCTGTTTTCGGGGCCATTGGCTTGGTAAATCTTCTTCCAGCCTTTCATCCTAAGCATATGCTTATTTCTGTCGGTGAGATGAGTCTCCTGTAAGCAACAAATTGTTGGATCTTCTTTTTAATCCATTTTGTCAAACGGTGTCTTTTGATGGGTGAATTAAGTCCATTAACATTAAGCCTTAGTACTGATAGGTATGTGGTGATTCCTGCCATTTAGTTGTCTTAGTTATTTGAAGGTTTGATTGTGTGTACCTAACTTGATGTTACTCTCTACTGTCTTGCTTTTTCTTATCCTGTGGTTTGGTGCTGCCTGCCTTTTCATGGTTAAGTTGGGTGTCACTTTCTGTGCTGCAGGATCTCTGTGTGCAACTTTCTTGAATCCTCTCTCTGACCATCGTCCTCCCGGGGAGGCTTTTTTCAGACACAGTTGGCTGTCAGCAGCCAGACGCTGATGACTGCTTTTTCTTATCCTGTGGTTTGGTGCTGCCTGCCTTTTCATGGTTAAGTTGGGTGTCACTTTCTGTGTGCAGGATCCCTCTGTTGTGCAACATTTCTTGAATCCTCTCTCTGACCATGTCCCTCCCCGGGGAGGCTTTCTAGACACTAGTTGGCTGTCAGCAGCCAGACGCTGATGACTGCCTGTATCCCACATCCCACCCAGCATGGAACCTCCTTGCCAGTGGGTGTGGAGTGAGCATGCCCAGCCCTAACGACTGCTCCCTCAGAATCATCCAGGAACAGCTGTTGGTCAGGTTCTCTGGAGTCACAACCCATGGCACAGTAAGCATGGGAAATAATAAACTGGGAGTGTGTCAACACCTTTGACAGAAGTCCACCAGAAAGTTGAGCAAGTTCGGTTTATCATCTGTTGCAGTGAGGGCCTCCTCAGAGTGGGATTGCAAGGGCCTACTTTAAGATTTCAGTTTTGGCTGAGTGACTTCAGTGAGGGGTCTAAGGAAGAGGACTGGAAAGTGGGGGCAACTTTATGAGTGGGTAGCTCCAAAAGCCTAGTTATAGAGACCTAGATACATGAGCTTTTTGCTCCGTATTAGACTACACGCAGTTAAGAATAAAGCTATAATTAGTTAGGGAAAAAAAAGGTAACAGTTGCTCATTTTAGGCAGCAGGATGTTTAGTATTTTGTGGGCAGCATAATAACCTTGTTTTTTGGTTTTGTGTCTGCCTAAATTATGAAGTGATTTTTTTTGTCTTACTTTATCATGGCTTCAGAGCAACTTTGAAGTTGGTATTCAGAGTGTTAATGTCCGGCAGAATACCAGAGCCAAGCAGTTTTAGATCATCTTTGGGGCCTCGGGGATGTTCTCTGTCCCTGCATCTCCATCACCCAAGAGATAATGTAGAGAGGAACTGAAGACAGGAGCCTTTGGACAGTGATGCAGGTTGACACCTGAAAAGGAGGGCTAAGAAAGACTGGACAAGGAAAGGGCTGGTTGGACAGTAGGACAGCTCCCAAGAAATCTTAGCTAGGCCAATGGAAGCTCCCGAGCAGACCACCCATCAGAGGTCCATGTTGGGCAGGAGTGGCTTGGCTCCAGCACTCCCCATTGCACGTGGTCACACCAGGACTAGCACAACCCATAATGGTAGGAGCTTTTGTAACAGCACTTCTTGCGACAGCTCTCTTAAAAGGAGAACTGAGTAGTGCTCTTCCACAGCTCAGGACCAAATGCTCAGGAATGTCAACAGGGGCAGGGTAGAAGAGGGAAGAGAAAAGAAGGAAAGATATATTAGAAATTAAGTTCAAGTGCAGAAGATGAAGTGTCCACTGGGTTCAGTAATAGTGAAGTGGCCAAGGAATCGTGTGGTAGTATGGGAGGAACAGACAGCAGTTGGGGGAGGAAGAGCTGGAGACTATGAATGAGGCTGGGAAATGGAGCAGCAGCTCAAGACCAAGGGAAACATTTAACATGGGAGACCAAGGATTCTTGTGAGCTGTGGGGATGACCCAGAAACGGTGGAAGAGCCAGCAATCACCTAAGGAAGGAAACTGGCCCAGGACCCAGAACACGGTGAAGTACAGGCACTTCAGCAGGGGAAGACAAGGGAAGTCCCCAAAGGACAGAACAGCTAGCTGTCCATGTTCATCACCCAACAAGATGACATTAAAAATAAAAAGGGCCAGGCACAGTGGTTCAAGTCTGTAATCCTGGCTACTTGGGAGACAGAGATCGGAAGAATCACAGTTCAAAGCCAGCCTGGGCAAAAAGTTCACGAGACCCTATCTCAACTAACGGTTGGGGCTCTGTGGTATGCACCTGTCACCCCAGCTACACAAAGAAGCATGAATAGGAGAAGTGAGGTCCTGGATGGCCCAGGCATAAAGTGAGACCCTATCTCCAAAATAACCAGGGCAAAAGGGGCTGAAGGTATGGCTCCAGCAGAACACCTACCTAGCAAGTGCAAAGCACTGAGTTCAAACTCCAGTACCATTGAAGAAAAGAAAAAGATGTTTTCAAACTGACAAGACTGAAAAATCATTGGACAAATAACTTTTGAATTTGATACAGAGATGGCAATAATCTATATAAAATAATTATATAATAATATAATTCAAAATGTCTTCACTAAGCAACATGGAGAACAGCTTCTAATATTTTCACCAAGATCACCACTATTACTAAAGACCACCCCAAACACAATCAGTTTATTTAGGTTTTTAAACCAAAAGATCTAAAGCTGCCAATTACAATTTCTAGTTAGCATGAGACAACCAGGTTAAAACCCCATAATGTAAGTAAATACAACTTTTAAAAGCTTTAACTTATACATAATTGAGCGATGTATTGGCCTCACGTTGGTAATTATAGCTCTAACATGTCAAATATATACACAAGCACACAAGAATGACCAATGCATCATATAAAAAGATAACTAATACATGATCTCACATATTCAAGGGGAAACAATGCCTAATGCTCATGGGGATATATAAATCACTGACCCACAAGGGAGAACTAAAAAAGGGTGGTGGAGGAGTCAAGGATGATGGAGGAGGCAAGGTAGAAAAGACATATGGAGGCTTCACAGACCTAGTAGCATCCAGGCCACTGAATGTCACTGTGTGTGCAGAACGGGCTTCAGGGCTAGAGGGAACAAGGACCAAGACTCTTAGCCACAAACTCACCAACAATGGAGTGCATATTTTGGGGTAAAGGGATATAATCTAGGGGAAGGCTATAAAAAACAGGGAAAGGAAAAGTTCATCCAAGAGGGCAAAACACCCTCCCCACACAGAGGCTCCCCATGCTCTCTGCAGAGGTTAAGTAGCTAAGGTCGCCCTGCAGGTCGCTCCAACCCTGAGGCTCTCGGAATCAAACCCATGGGCAAGAATCTTCCTTAAGGAAACTATCTCCGCCCCCAAAAGTAAAATATCAACACAAACAAAACTCAAAACCAAGAGACAAGCAGGGTAAGTAGGCTTTAACCCTTATACTTGCCGTACCCCAACTGTCCTGCTATTGAGACAGGGTTGGCTCATTCCTTATACCAACTTGTTACATCATGCCAATACATTCCCCCTCAAAATGAGTAATGTTGTAAAATATAAATTTGCCCCAAATATAAGCAAACATTAACTTAAGGATCCTCCTATAGTATTACTACACTACCCTAGCATATCTTAACCCTGTTCTCACCCATTTACAAACTCTGCACTCTGTACTGCTCTAGAGGCATTACATTGTTGCATTAGATTCCTCTTCTTGAGGTAGTTGAAAGTCTTGAAATACAGCAAATTTAAGTATTTTTGTACACTTCCATGGATGAGTAGTTATCATAATCAAACTCTTTTCCCCCTGATTCTCAGACTACTATAATTTTTCCCTTAGATCATAAACTAATGTAACAAATGGAAATAAAAAGTCATACAAAATAATTTAAAATCAAGCAAAAACAAAAAATAATTAAAACAAAGAATCTGTGTCTTCACACTAGCAGTTTAAATTCTGCCAAAGACAAAACACTTACTCAGCTTAGCAAACCTACAGACTTTTTTATAATGTACATAAGAAATCAGCACTTGGTAGACTGAGGCAAGAGCATACAGAGTTCAAAGCCAGGCTGGGCTACAGAGAAACCCTGTCTCACAAAAAAACACAAGAAATTAATCACTCATAAAAATAGGGGGAAAATTCTAGGTTGCAACATAAAACTAACATCAATTCATTCACCAACTAAAAGTTCTTCCAAAATGCCATGTCCACCAGAGGGGACGTTTGGCAAAACTGTCCGCATGGGCTGACTTGCAGGCCAGACCAACTGCCCTTAGGTCTGCTTAAGAGGTGCAGGGATATTGGCAGATGCCTGTTCAAGGTAGGCCAAGGAGCCCTGAGGGATGTCAGCTGGCTTCTTATGCTGCACATTGATGTCCTCCAGCACCTGCTGCCAGTGCCTCAGCTTTGTTAGGTGCTTCTGGACCAGAGCATCTTTCCTCTGCAATTCATTCCTTAGTTCCGAGACATCCTGCAATGACAGTAAGCAAACTCAGGGAAAACAAAACAATTCCTCAATGACTAAGAGTACTAAGAAGCAAATTCAAAACTAAGAAAATTCACTCAGCCACACTAAGCCTACACTCTGCTTAGCTCTACTATACGAGTAACCCAAAGGAAATCTTCCAATGGAAGATGTCTACCTAACATCAACAGTTTTAATTTTTAATTATTCTTCTTTTAGTAGGTAATGACAAAGTCATAAGATTCAAAAACACTTGAGGGCAGCCAAAAAGAAATGAACCATTAAGCCGGGCATGGTGGAATGTAGCTATAATTCTACATTTGTGAGGCTGAAGCAGGAGGATGAGTTTGAGGCCAACCTGGGCTACAGAGAGATGCTGGCTCAAAATAACCAACATAAAATAAAAAAGAAGTCAACTGTTTTCTCATCCTGATCAGCAGAAACCCAACACCTCTGCCCAAAGGCTACTACTGCTGAGACTCTCAAACACTGAGAATCTGAAACACAGTTAACAACTGTAAGAATCCACCTCACTGTTGTAGAGTTTCAGATTTTGAAGGGCTAAAATCGTATCTTCAAGGGCTCTTTATGAACACTAGCATTAAATCCTTCCTCAAGATTTGGCCTCAATCATGCCTGCATTATTATTCAAGCATTCACATCAGGAAATGATCTGACTGACAGACTGTAAGAAAACCTATCATCATCTTATTATTCACCCTCTTAACAAGTGGCATGAATGAAAAGAAACTTTTTAATGAATTGGTTGGTATGTGGGAGTTGTTACTTCAAAAGCTGCAAAAACCTGATCATCTCAATTTGGTGTTTCTCAATGGGGGCACTGCTGGCTTTGGGGTGGGAGGATTCCTCACTTCTCCACATAGAGATGGCAGGTCCTAGGTCCCCTCTACTGAATACCATTAAAGCTTCCTGTCCTTACAGCAACCCCAACACACTTCCAAATGCCCCTGTTTATTTAGACTAACAAAATACTGAGTTTTAAGGAGCCTTGGCTACACTGTACTTTTCGATTCTTTCAACGAAACTGACCAGACCTTCCTGTGTGTGAGGCAGCAGATAAGGAAAATGGGAACACAGGTCACAGCTCCTGTTCAAAATGGGTTTTCATTTACACTATGGCAGTTCAACTTTTTTCACAAGGTAGAATCATTTCTTTTAAGAAAAATCTTCTACAAAAGTCATAGGTGAAACAAGTAGGCAGAGCTGCCCCGGTAAAGCTCTGTTTTCCAGTCCCCACTCCTTGGTTCCCCTACACGCTTAGGCCACCATGAACACTAACAATTAGTAGCATTTCATACTCATAATTCACAGTAATGGAGTATATTTTGTTTAAAGCATAAGTGGAATCCAGAAAACATTCGCACTTCCTAAAAGTTGAGGGAAAAAATAGAGTTTGTACCTCTTTGATAACTTGCTCTGGTTTCTGGACAGACAACTGCAATCTTTTTTGTAGGAAAAAACATTCTGTCTGTCTTGCAATGTCCAGAAACTTCTGGATACACTGATCGACACCTTAAAAAAGAGTACAAAAATTACATTAAGAAAAACACTAGACAAGTATTATCTTTCAATAAATGAAAAGTGAGGACACTGAAACAGGACTGAAGGTATGGCTCAAGTGGTAGAATGCCTGCTTTGCAAGCATAAAGCCCTGAGTTCACACCCCAGACCCAACCCCATCCCCCCAAAAAAGAACCCAAAATATTAAAACAGCATCTTTTCATAGATGTAATCTGGGATTTTAATCTTGGCTATAGAAATAATAATGACTACCAACTTCCTGTGGGTAACCGACATTAAACAGCAGATAATCCCTGCTTTTATCAGGTGAAAATGAGACTTTATGTAACACGAAAGTCAGGAGGTCTTCTGAAGGAAGACAATCCAGATAGTCAGCAATTAACAGCACAATTTCCACTTAAAATGGAACATTAAAATATAGTACAAAGAAGTCAGAAGACCTGGCTGCTCTGGACACAGAACACGGAAGATAAGAGGGAAGCACAACAGACTTTCCTCTGTACCACATATTCCAAAGATCATTACAACCTGTGGGTTTTTTTAAAAAGATCAGTTCACACTTATTAAAGTCTTCTTTACGTAGTAACAATAAGAAAAGCTCATTTCCAGTAGTCATTCTGAATGACATGACTGAACAAAGCACCAGTAGTTTATGGGCACTATCTGCATATATCTGATTTTCTGGAGAAAAGTTCTCTCAGAATACATGAAGGACTGAAAAACACCAAGGTAAAATCAGCAATGAGGAATCTTTCTGAAGCAAAAACACTTCCTACAAAGAGGGCATTCTTACCAGTTCGAATTTCTTCCTGATCAGTGCCACTGACATAGTCCTGGCTCACAAGAGAAGCAAAGCAAGCCTGTGTGATCAAAATATCAAAAGAGAGAGAGATGTCATCACACTTCAAAGCCTTACTTCCGGAAAAGTAACTTCTTCTGAGGTCATTTAATATGGTGACAGCATCTGAGTTTGCAGGAGATGATATTATGCCAATGAAGACACTTGGTAAACTGAGTCCCAAGTACACTGGTATTTGCTGGGACCATTAGCTGGCCTCTCTCCTACCACCTGCCCCTTCCTCACTACTTCAGTCCATATCATGGCCTGGACACCCATCAGCCCCAGAACACCCTCTCCCACTGATCCTTGCATGGCTTGTTTGTCACCCATTCAAGATGCTGTCCCTGTCTATTCTTTCTAAATAGTGCCTCTTCCTGCTCATGCTTTACCCTTGAGCCCAATTTGTTTTTCACAAATTGACATTACTATTCGTTATTTTCATCCAAATCTGTTCCCTACCAGTAGGTGGGAATTTTGCCTGTCTTGTTCACCTCTATACCAACTACCTGGAACACTTGACTTTTTTATTAAGTAACAAGCTTTCAATAAATACCTAACAATGAGTGCCATAAGAGAACACAGTTGGTGTCATATGGATAACCAAGTCCCAAAAAGGGAGTTCTTTCTAAACCGACTGAGATGCACATGTAAGTTAGCTATGGCCTTCTGTGAGTTCGAAACTCTCAAGGAATGCACAAAGGTGGCCTGCTGCAAGGCAGCAAGGCCAGAGAGAAAGAGTAGCACAGCAGCTGGTGGGGAGCAGAGGCTGGAAAGAAAGCCTTGCCAGCAGTAATTAAACTTAACTAGAAGTGAGGCAGGCAGACACAGGTGCAAATTTAGGTCAAAACTACATATGAGGCACCTGTGGGAAGCAAGAAATTCTCTTGCGGGCAGTTTCTCCATTTAATTTACAGAGACAATCACAGGGATTTCCCCCATCTCCCCAGTGACTCAAAAAATCAGACTGTTATTCTACTTACTACTTGAAAAGTCCACTCCCGTAGGATTCCAGGTGTGAATAAGATGTGCATGCTTTGGGAAACCTCCGGTTAATGGTTAACTGCCTACAAGGCTGGGGTGATTCCCCAGAAGCAGTAGGGCGATGAAAAGGGTGGGTGTAAATTTAATCTAAGCAATTTTAGTCCCCTCTTATCCTTTAAATAATACTTTTTAGAAGCATGACTAGGATAGCTTTTGCCTGTAAAGTTAGGAGGCCTGAATGTTAATCCTCATTTGCATAAAGTCAATGTCTGACTTTGGGCAAGTTACTTCTGCTCTCTGAGCCTCAGTTTCTCCACCCAAAAGAGAAGAGGATGGGACTAGATAGGTTCCAAGGTTTCGTTCCACAGCAAGAGTGCGAGATCTCAAATGCATTCTACCAAAGGTCATTGAGGGAACCAGAACGAGAAGGTCAGAGACATCAAGGGGAGGCACCAAATAGAAATAAGAAGTAAATCAGTAGGTGCCAGGAAACACTTGGAAGTCTTCACAGAACACGGGAGAAGACGGAAAGTGCCATAAGAAAAGTGACTTAAAACCAAGTCTTGAGAGAAAAGCAGGACGACGTAAGAGTGGGGCCCAGGGGAGAGGCTGCGCTCGGCAGAGGACGGGCTGGTACTACAGCAGCCGGCCGGCAACCCGCAAGGGTCCGGGGGTTGGGCTTCCAGAAACGTGCAGTTCACACGCGGCCGCCAGCGGACCTGAGCAGAATACCGGCCACAGGAATTCAGCATCTAAAAGCAAGAGACTTTCGTCCACTGAGCCTCAGCATCCCCATGTGTAAAGTGAACACCAGGATCCAAGAAGATCACCTGCGCACGCGCAACTCACGCTCAAGTCTCGGTTTACCTCAAACGATGACTCCAATTCGTCCACCAAGGTACTGTTGGAACTCCTCGAAGCGCCAGGCGCTGCTTGAAGAAGCGAAGCCTGGCCGGGTAGTCCCTGCGGAGGTGGCGGCGGGGGGCCGGGGTGCTGGTCGCGGTGAAAGCATTGCACCTATGTCGGAGCAGCATGTCTGCAAACGGCGGGGAGGAACGCACTGCGCTGCCGCGGCAAGTGCGTCACGGCACGTGCCGTCGGTCATCGTGGCCAGTTCGGGTACGGAGGAGCCGGAAAATAGTTAAGGTGGCCGTTTTGGTCCCTTCTTTTCCTGTTGCTAAGGCCGCTTGGCTTTCCCTTTTATTTTTCTTAATTTAAGTACTGAAGGCGTTTATTGGGTTTCAAACAGCTGTGTGGAGAGCGAGAATTAATAACTACGGCTATGCGAGCCCCCCTCGCAGGAGTCCCAATACTGCTGCGCCAGTCCTCACTCCGCCATGACGCTTGCTTTGGCCAAGTCACTTTCTCTCCCGCCTGTGTTTACAGCTGGTAGAAATGAGGAGTCACCGTTCACTGCACAGCTATTGCGGGCTTTACTAGTACCAAATGCCCGTCCAGTCAGTGGTTATAAGCGGGCACAAGACGAGAAAAGTTCCTTCTAAATTTCGGGGAACGGGGAGAAACGGGGAAGCCAAACGGCTTATCTGGGTGCCTGGCCTGTTGTTCTTGGATATTTATGGAAACATCGGAGAGAAAGTCATTGTGCTAATCTTTTTAATAACTTGATTTTAACTATTGCTTTTTCATCTTTTCAGAAGCCGAGTAACGTCTTTTCATGATACCGTATTACAATACTACACATTTATCTGAGCCCTACTTGTCAGGCACTACTTCATAATCTGGGGATCATACCTATCAACCCAAATCTTTGGAGGGGGGCAGTCACATAAATAAATGTAGCACTGTCGTGTGGAGAGTAAGCGCTTGAAAGAAAAATGAAGCCCTGTGAGACAATAGCTACTGATTTGGGGATGTTTTTGAAACAGGTGACTGGGGAAGGTCTCTCCAAGATCCTAACGGGAATAGCTGGAGTGAAAATTTGACTAGGAGCTTTCTAGACAAAGGGACCCGGAGAGAAGTTTCCTGCCTGACTGGCACATTTAAGGGACCACAGGATGGCCAACAGAGCCAAAGAAGTGAGCCAGCGTGTAAGTGGTGGCAGACTTGGATGAAAGGCATCTTTCCAGCCTGGATCTGTGTTTGATCCACTCTCCGACGCTCTCCAACCTTGTTTAATTTTCTTCACAGCACTTACACATAATCTGAAATTATCTTGTTCATTTTTTTCTTAATTGACTTCAATCAATGCCCTGCCCCCTTCCCCACCTCTTACCCCCAGAATCTGGAACTCTGGCTGGCAAGGACATAGTAAATACTTGCTGATGGAAAGAATCATGCCAGGAGAGATTTTGTCTACAAACTGCTTTGATCTCAGCACCCCCTTACATTCCTAAAACCTATTGAAAATTCCAAAGTTGGTTTTTTTTTCATTTCTTTTATTCATATGTACATGCAATGTTTGGGTCATCTCTCCCCCATTCCACCCCCCCCTTCTGAGCAGAAACTGTTTTGCCCTTATCTCTAATTTTGTTGAAGAGAGAGTATAAACATTAAAAGGAGGACCAAGGGTTTTTGCTAGTTGAGATAAGGATAGCTGTACAGGGGGATTCCTCACATTGCTTTCCTGTGCATATGCATTACATTCTAAATTGATTCTTCTCGAACTAACCTTTTCTCTGGCTAGTTCCTGGTCCCCTTCATCTATTGGCCTGTGTCGCTTTAAAGTTTCTGCATTAGTTCCTTTACATTGAGGACATCAAATGCTATTTTGTTTCTTGGGTTTCTTACCTATCCTCATACCTCCCTTGTGTGCTCTCACCTCATCATGTGATCAAAGTCCAATCCCCTTGTTGTGTTTACCCTTGATCTAAAGTCCGAATATGAGGGAGAAGATACGATTTTTGGTTTTCTGGGCCTGGCTAACCTCACTCAGGATGATGTTCTCCAGTTCAATCCATTTACTTGGCTGCGTAAAATTCCATTGTGTATAAATACCACATTTTCTTAATCCATTCATCAGTAGTGGGCATCTTGGCTGTTTGCATAACTTGGCTATTGTGAATAGTGCTGCAATAAACATGGGTGTGCAGGTGCCTCTGGAGTAACCTGTGTCACATTCCTTTGGGTATATCCCCAAGAGTGGGATTGCTGGATCATATGGCAGATCTATGTTTAGAGTTTTAAGAAGTCTCCAAATTTTTTTCAGAGCAATTGTACTAGTTTGCATTCCAACCAGCAGTGTATAAGGGTTCCTTTTTCCCCACATCCTCGCCAACACCTGTTGTTGGTAGTGTTTCTAATCATGGCTATTTTAACAGGGGTGAGGTGGAATCTTAGTGTAGTTTTGATTTGCATTTCTTTTATGGCTAGAGATGGTGAGCATTTTTTCATGTGTTTTGGCTATTTGAATTTCTTCTTCTGAGGAAGTTCTATTTAGTTCACTTGCCCATTTCTTTATTGGTTCATTAATTTTGGGAGAGCTGTTTTTGGAGTTCCTTGTATATTCTGGTTATCAGTCCTTTGTCTGCTGTGTAGCTGGCAAATATTTTCTCCCACTCTGTGGGTGGTCTCTTCAGTTTAGAGAGCATTAATTTTGTTGAGCAGAATCTTTTTAGTTTTATGAAGTCCCATTTGTTTATACTTAATGAATATTCCAAAGTTTTAGTTTATATGGGTCACGTCTGCCAATTCCTATTAAAAGATTTTTATAAAAATTAATTTAAAATAAACCCATCATATATTAACATGAATATTTTTATTAAAACCACAACTTTTGGGCAAAACAAAAAGTTGGAAGAGTGGCCTCATTTTACTTTTCTGGAAATCCCTTTGACATCTGGTTTACCTAACTGCCATTGTAAGTTGCCTAATAAGATGGTCAATGGTATCTCTCTTGGATTCACCCTAGAGAGCACAGATAAGGCACTCACTTATTTTGCTAAAAAATCTGTTTCTTCAATCATAAAACAGGAACTATTTCAGAAAGAGTACTCAGAATGAGAACAGTGTATGTAGGGGTCTAATAGTTCCTGTCATATGTGAAGTACCTTAAGAGTGACATGGTGTGACTCAGGTTTAAAAACAGTCTCTCCACTCACAGATGACAGAACAAGTAGGGCTAAGAAGCCCAGAAAGGCAATAATCTAGACAAGTCTAAAGAGTAAGTATCCTGTCTTTAGTAGGGCAGCTGAGACAGGTGGTAAAATGTGGTCAAACTCCGTAATTTGCTCAGGAAAAAGACCCACTGGGAATGGAACTGCGCAGTGCAATTTGTTGAATACATTTGTGAAAGTAGGGTTTAAGCTACTATTTCTCTAGGACCATAGTGCAGGGAAGAGCCCAGAACTCACGGGTAGCAGGGCAACAGCTATAGAATATGGCCAGCCACAAAGAAAGGGTCCTAAAGAAACAGCCTAATAGGTATATGATTAACAGGCCACCAAGTGATAGTGTGGTTCTAGAAACTCTTCTTCCCACAACCTAGACTGAATTCTTTAATGACAAGGACTTCTTGTTTTCTTTGCCTTCCCAAGCACAACTTCTGGTACAAAGGCATGGAGTGTTGGCTTGAATCAATGAATCCTTTATTTCAACTTCTTCGAGCTTGGAGAATATGAAGCATGTTTGGATTTATTTCGTTGGTGATCCTAAAACTCCTTTAAAGTGCCAAGCAATCCCAAGATTTCATAAAGTGCATGTCACACTGTCTCCTTTCTCATCTATTCAACCAATATGGACACTATGTGTTTGGGTCATGTGCTGTGAGAGCACAGATTGACAATAAACTGGAGGTAAGGTAGCTACTCTCATTGTACTTACCATGTTACAAGTGCACTGTCCCTTTTGATATATCAAGGGTTTAGATTAAACTATATTCAGCAATGGTGTCTTGTGCTGTGGGCCATGTGTTAGGGAACACAGTGATGGACTTTGCAGATCTGTTGACCTGGATTCTAACCTGTTTTGGAGTTTATGAGCTGTCACCTTTCCTCTCCTCTGTGACAATGCACCCAACTAAATCTCCACATTTTCCCAAACCACCTTGCAGTAGTTATGTTTACCCTGACATCAGTTGAAAAACTAAACACATGTTAAACTGCAGCTGCAACCCCCTGCCTGCTCACTTTCCTTTTTCTTTTCAGGTTGCCTTTCAACCCCAACAGGTTGTCTGGGATTGTGTGTGAGGAAGCCTCATTGAGGCCATGGTAGAGATGGATATGCCGAGATGGGGGTTGGCTTCCCTTAGCCCTGGTTTCCCTATTGCTGTCACTTTTATTTTTGTGTTCTAAATCACAAAAATACTTTGTGTGCTCGCTTGGATGCAAAGGGTTGAAGTATTGACAGCGCAATGAATGAGAACTAAGTTTTCATCTTTGGCCTATTTGATAAACACAATGAAACCCGGGTCTGTGCTGTTACATTTTGTATCCTATATGCAAATTGAACATGGAGTCTATTGTTCTTTAATCCGTAAGACACCTTTCACAGAAAGCCTATCAAAGCCCTACCATCCCTTCTAAGTCACCCAGAAGGAATCTGTTTTTAGTTTCCTTCATAAGCCAGGAATTCCAACCCTCTGATTCCACCTTTCATGATAGAAGTAGTTTCTGAACATGGATAGCAATGGAAACGTGTTTACTCACTACTTTTAATTTTAATTCTAAAAAAAGTCCCAAAATGTGTGTCATTTCCATTCCCTCTGTGTAAACCAATTTAGTGACAATATCCTCTTACATGTAAAATACTTATAAGTTAAAAATAACTGCAATAAGCAGCATTTCTGTCAAACATTTTCATCTTAATGGGCATACAGCTCTAAAAAAAGTCCCAAAATGTGTGCTCATTTCCATTCCCTCTGTGTAAACCAATTTATGTACATATCCTCTTACATGTAAAATTACTTAAGTTAAAAATAACTGCAATAAGCAGCATTTTCTGTCAAACATTTTCAGTCTTAATGGGCATACAGCCTATTCATGAGTAATTTGATCCATCTGATAGGAAAGTAAGGAAGAGGAGGGCTTTGTTCTAAGTCTGCACCAGTGGAATTCTGTTGACTGGTTGTAGTACCAGGAGGTTAGCAGATAAGTTTAACCATTGGGCAGTCTTTTCATGGTTTTGTTTCTTTCTTGTTATTTCAAATAAATTCCAGCTGTCTCATGCCGCCATTTTCCCACACCTTATTGTGAGGATTAAGTAGCATAAAATATTGGAAAACACGTAGATATTGTCTGGCAGACAGTTAAAATTTGGAACAGTGAATACAATTACTTTGGTGCTTGTTTGGAAAGCACGTGCTGCTACCTTTTTACAAAGCTGAATAAGCTTATTCCAAAATGCCCCAAAGTGATTTCTGGCATGAAAGAAAATACCTGTCTATGTGCCTCAATTTAATTACTTAGTTCACATAACAAGGCCACCAGAGATAAGTTTCTGTTGTCATAACCCCATATACAATGGGTTTATAGTAAACATCAGTCAAACCAGACAGCACAAGAAGTTGGATTTATTATTTCTGACAACTGCATAGTTTCTATTATTTTCTAAAAAATCATTTTCAAGCTTAAAAAATTGCACAATTCTTAAGCAAGATACTTTTACCTTTATAAATCTTTGCATAAAATAAAAAAAAAAATCAAGGCATCAAATTTTCATTTTGTTCTACATTTTAAATATTTCCTTGTTATCTTTAAAAGGTTTTCATCCATTCAAAAATATCCTGAAGCCCAACTGTATAGTTTAAGACAGAAGAGGATTTTTAGGAACATCTGAAATCACTTTTCCTTTTTGGTGGTACTGGGGTTTGAACTCAGGGCCTCACATTTGCTAAGCAGGCACCTCACCACTTGAGCCATGCCACTGCCCCACAGTACCTGAACTAAGCACTGTCCTGACTGAAGCGACATAAGAACTCAATCAGAGTCCTTGTGGGCCTCCCAGTCATGCCTTTCCGCAGGTATGGAACCTCATCTTTGTTGGTCATCACACCTGCTATGTCTAAATGTGCCCACTTAGGATGAGTCACGAATTCCTTGAGGAATGCTGCAGCTGTACAAGCTCCTGCAGATCTGAAGAGAAAGGCAAACAGCATTACTTTATGCTGTGCACTGAGCATACTCCATTCTTGTTAGGCAGGTTGTATGACCAGAGTTCAAGTCATGTTAATTGGACCTATTAAGAAGTTAACCCAGAAATCAATTTCAGAAAATTTATTTCTAGATATTTTTTTGTGGGGGGGAGTACTAAAGTTTGAACTCAGGACCTTGCACTTGCTAGGCAAGCACTCTACCACTTGAGCCACCCCTCTAGCCTCTGGTAAAGCTTTAAGCAGTAAAAGATAAATTCTAGATTCTTTTTCCCACATTGAATGAATCCCACATTGAATCCCACATTGAGACAATGAATCCCACATTGTCTCTTTCCCTTATCATTTGCTTTAAATGAACTTTTTTTTATTGTTTTATTATTAAATGAACTTTAGATTTGAAAACATGCAACATTTTTAATAGCCTGTTGGAGAAATACTTTGAAAATTCAACATATCAGAAAGCTTACAAGCCCTACACCAAAAGGAAACTGGATTGTGAACCTGTTTGTTATGAGGCTAAAATTGAAAAGAGTCACTTTGGCAGTCAAGGATGTTGTAAAAATGTACACTGTAGCTCGTTGTACATACCTGTATTTTCCAATGTTATTAACATCGGCGAGTTGGCAATCTTTAACCTGTCTTGTATAATGCTCAAAGAGAGGCATCCTCCAGACACGGTCCCCTGTTTCAATGCTGGCCTAAGTAAGAGATTCATATTATGGTTCTAAGACTGGATGAAGCAGGTTCTAGTAAATTCATGGTATGCTTGATGCATGAAAGAGCTGCTCAACCTGTTACTCTAAAGCATGAAACTTTATTATAACAGCTGCCAGGACTATTTCAGGTCATTAAGCGATTAGTTGAGAATTATAAAAGATAAAAGGTTTGTTGTGAAATACTTCCACAAATCTGTAGAGCATTTGCTGAAGATTCAGTTTAAATGAATAAGCTGGTATTCTGTATTAGACACAGGCTTTGTGGGTTTGAATAGGGTAAAAAAGAGTCTTCATGAGGCTAGCACCTAACTCTGCTGGGGAAATGCACGCCCAGATCTCGATCACTGCAAACCATATCCTGGTAGGAAGTAACTTCATTCACCGTGTACCTGCTCATTCATTCACTCCTTATTTACTGAGCTTCTGAGCACCACCAGTGTGCTGAAATATGAGTATATAAGCCACCAGAAGGCCTACAGGCTATCAGGAGAAATAGATAAACATTATTTAACTCACCATGGCAAAAAGTCAAATATAAGCCCAAAACAAGCAGCAGTGCTTCTCAAAGCAATGCCTTGAGAGGTAAGCATTTTATTAGCATATATTAATTGTACAAAAGGATTTCATTGATAGATTCATAAATGCATTTAAATATATTTGATGATATCTACCCCCTCAATTACTCTTTTATCCACCCCCATAAGCTATTATTTTAGGATGTAAGTCCTATCATATGCTTCCAAGAAAATGACTGTAGGTCGCTGTTGATGTAATTATGTTTATGCACATATAACTTTGGTTTTAAAAAAAAGTCAAAACAATGTGGATGCCATGATGACAGTGACACTGTGTGGGGGAGGCCAGAGGAGAGGCTCAGGCAGGTTGAGAGGGTAGGCTTCACAAATGATGAGAGGATGGAGACGAAGGGGAAGGTGAAAAATAAATTTAGGACCTTAATCCAACCTCACAAATATATTCAGGATTTTGTGCTTGTTTCCCATAACAAGCGGCCATTAACTGCTTGAGCAGCCAAGTGGGGAACTGGGGAGGCCAGGCCATCAGCAGAAAGCTGCTGGTGGAAGCCACAGGAATACATGAACTCCCTCATGAAGACTCTGAAGTGGAAAAGCATATGGCCAGGGATAATACCAAGCAAATGGGTGTACAACACAAACAGCCAGCCACAGAGAATGAACAGGACAATCAGAGAAGTGAAGCAGAAGAGACGATGATCACGGAAGCCAAGAGCTGGGTGTCACTAAGAGGTCACAATTATATGCTGCCTTGAAACAGGTTGGGTTAGGCCTTCAGCGGTAGCAGCAGGTGAAAGCCAATGGGAATGAGTGAAAATATGTGTGGGGGTGGAGGGAAGGTGGTGATGAGATGGGAGACAACTGGAAGGGGCTGGCTGTGAAAGGACATAGAGAGAGGCACAAAGACACCAGTGAGAGGACATCATCATCACTGCACTCACCCAGGTGAGCACTGTCTACATTGGCTGACTCACAGCATGCATTCGTTAGAAGTTCACTCATTCAAAAAGCTGTCTTCATACCCCTTGCTACCCTACCTCAGGGAATCTCTACCATTACCATGTTATCTGTTATTTTCACATCATTCTGAGGCTACTGGAGGAGAAGAATGTGGTGTCATACATGTAATTTAGGGGCATTTGTAGTAGATAACCCAAACCACTGAATGCACATTATTGCTATGGTCCATTTTCAATTCCAAAGTAAACCACATGAAAATCACTTTAACACAAGGGTTAAACAAGTACATCAATTGAAGACCACAACAATTTAATCAGCATCCCATAAATTTAGATCTGTGTATCAGTCCTACCTCAAAGAGTTTGTTCCACAGCCAGGATGAATTAGTAAAGACCCCAGTGGCACCTGACCCCAGAGCTATGTCCATGGCACCTGTAAGACACAACCCCTTAGGTCAATGTCAGTCTCTCCAGCCAGGAGACCCTTCTATTGCTTAAATCAAAACTGGTTTAATGGCTCCCTCATTTTCAAAAATACATAAGCTTAGGAAATCTTTCGTTCTATATTTATTGTCTCTCACACTAAAATCACCTGTAATTATTAAAGAAAATGCCAAAAAGGTGAAATGTCAAATCAGATGTTACCAATAATCTCATTTTTGATATTTCCATCTAGACTATAAACATTTTTTAAAAAATAATTAAGTGGTGTTATTCTGTGCTTTAAGCATTTATTCCTCTTTTACAAACAAATGTTTAAAAGTACCTCTCACTTTTTTTTTTTTAAATGGGTCTGGAATGTGAAGTCAGGGCTTCATGATTGCAAAGCAGGTGCTCTAGCACTTGGCCACACTTCCTGTCCTCAAAGTATTTTTAATGATCGCAAAACAGTCCTATGCATGGAGGTATCATAATTCACAAAACTACTGGCATGGAGGCCATCTCTAAGTTTTAAATCATATCCCACTAAGTATCTGCTGTAAGATTTTTATCCCAAGAAAACAGTCTGCCATTATTGTATATTAATTATTTCCTCTATATTTCTCCAACAAAGTTGTGTTTCATTGGCTTACTTCTCCTTTTAATTGGCATTTAAAAAATTAAAAATCAGATTTCCAGGTTCTCTTGAGTAACATAACAGATATATTTTAGTGCTGCCTTCTTTTATTTGGGTGTTTGCTCTCAGCAGTCTCCGTGGTAATCTGCCTGGCCCCATTTAGAAACTCTGGCTCAGGTAACTTGTCTAATTCCTAAGAATATTCTTGGAGCCTAGCACTCCTCTGAAACATGTACCTAGTAAGTGGTTACTGAGAGGAAAAAGAAAACCTTGCTACCCTACAGTAACAGGACAAAACCACATGATGTGTCATGGGACACCCCACTAAGCCCACTACCACCAGTATCAGGACACACATGTGATGTCAGAGACAGCACTAAAGTTGGCAGAAATTCCAATGCTTCCACAAGGAAGTACTTGCACTTGTAAAAGGAAGGTCCAGTTAGCTCCTTAGTCACAATCTGTGGCCTTGCATGAAACTGCATCAGCATCTTCCTCAAGGAAAACTAAAATGCAACAATGCTACTATGCTGTTTGGTAAATTATATTTACATATAAAAGTTCCCATATCTTTACATTTTTTTTTCAGTTAAGACTAACAGTAGTTGTACAACACAACTCCAAATACTCCCCTATTTCTGCATGTGGATAAAAAGTGATACACATCTCTGCCTAAGAAATCAGGCTTAGATCCACCATTTATTGTTAATTTTATCATCTCACACAACACCACAATGATTTAAAACTGATTCTCCCTTCCTGGGACTTTTCTAGTATTAGGTAGCTCTGTGTTATGAGGGTGTTCAATTGTACATTTTTCCCACAAAATTATAAGCAAATTGCAGAAATTATTATTAATACTAAGGAATTATAAACTAGTGACAACTTAAAGAAAACCACTATTTGGAAGTGGTGACCCACAAAAAGACTTATGATTTGCATAACATTGGGGCAAATCCAGTCTTTTTGCTTCATTTGCTCCAAGTTTCATGCTATCTCCCTTTGTTTTTTGAAACATGGGTCTCACCATATAGCCTAGGCTGGCCTGGAACTTGTAATCCTCCTGCCTCAGCTTCCCAAGTGCTTGGATTATAGGTATGTGCCACCACGCCCAGTTCCCAACTGTCTCTTAAATCTATTTACTTCTTTCCATCACTGTTGCTACCATCATCATCTATCACCTAGACCTCAGAAGGGCTCAGGAAGCGGTTGGGAAACTAGAGTGAGCTATCAGCTAGATCAATGGCAGGGATGACTTGAAGGCTTACCCACCACCACATTTTCCTTAGTTACCGGAGGGCTAACTTTACTACCCTCTGAAATCTTCAGATCAGAAAATGGGGCAAGGTACTGATATTAAGCATCTAGGAAAAAGTAACTCTGAAGTGATAATTAGGAACATCATTTTTAAGTTGTAAAAGTTAGATTTACATATCCTCTGGGATTCCTGCTTTATAGAAAGGGTGCACTATCACATACTTAACACCACTGCCCCAAAATCCTGCCCTAGAATCTCTCCTTTAAACTGTTTATGAAGTACACAGGAATACTAAAAGTCATGGAAATACTATGTTTGCCCTATAAAAAGGGACTCTTAGCAAATGAATCTGTGCGCTGTTGATCAACTTACAGATAAAAGTAACATGATATGATTTCTGCTCAAGTAAAGGCTCTTGTGTTCAGAGAAAGATAAAAACCAAAAGATGAAATGACCTGAATTTTAACCTTATAAGCAGCAGAGACAAATGAATTCCCAGGAAGACTTCTGGACGGAAGATTAGGTGCTTTGGGATTTTGCAGTAAGGCGGTGCCTGTCTATTACCCCTTAGGAATTTATTCACTGCTCTACACAGTTGTTGGTGTATGGCCTTTCTTCACAAATGTCTGCCACATAAGGGCACAGTATTCAAGAGACATACTAAAAGCACTCACCTGTCTTCACAACTCTGTGAAGCAAACAGCATGGTTCCCAAGTACTGATTTTCAAGGTCAAGGACCTTGCTCATGGCTGGCTGACTCTCTAGAGAGAGTCATACTGACTCTGAAGCCCAGGCTTCATGGGACACATCACACTGTGCTGTGTCACTGAGAATCTTGCTACTCTCAGAACATTATTTCTTTTTTGCTTGGTTGTTTGTCTTTTGAGACTGAGTCTCACTATGTAGCCCAGGCTGCCTGGAACTCACAATCTTCCTGTCTCAGCCTCCCAAGTGCTGGGCTTAAATATATGTGCCACTGTGTCTGGCTATTTTTATTTGAAGTATAAAAAGTTCAGAAAACTCACCGGGCATCAGATACATTATGGTTAGCAATTTTTTTAAAAAGCTGCTGATTTTGGGATTTATCACTAATTTTTCAGCTCTGTATCACATGGTAATTGTAAGAGAAAACACTTCTTAATACTATTTCTGAATGTCCCCCTGGATGAGGTGATCTGACCCACTTACTGAAGTTACAGCTGGAATGTTTTAAAACAACAAACCTAATATTCAAAACATTTTATAACTACAGAACAATTTCTTTGGTGAAAGATGTTTGAATGAGAGTGGAATGAGCCAAGAGTGGAGTGAACCAAACTTCAGCAAACAGTGCCCTAAGTAGTGTGTGCACTCTACCACAAACACGGTTCCCTTTGGACAAAGACAGGGAAAGCGTGTGGTATGACCTGTTAGAGTGGCAGCATTGATGATGGCCTTGGGATTAAAGGTGTGTGCATAACAGAGCGCGTCAGCCAAGATGAGCCGCCCCTCTGCGTCAGTGTTATCAACCTGCAAAGAGGAGGATCGAAAAGAAGGGTAAGGTAACCCAAGAAAAAAATATGAAAAATAACATACAACAATGTTCAATTTAAAAGGAGAAAAAGTCTAGGGTGATGTTTGTCACCAAGTAGTATAAACGGCTGGCTGTGAATTCATAGCAGTATGTATATACAGCATATAGTTAGTGGGAGGAACAACAGGGCAAGAAAAGTATTCCTATATATTCCCATATTCCCATTGAGAAATACTTGTGGCTTTGCATGAAAAAGTACTCAGAACTAATGGCACTCTCCCCCCAACATGGAGCTGAGGCCCGGCACCCATTCATGCCACAGTTATGCGGCATGATGGGTTCCTTGAGAGCACCAGATGGGGAATGCTGTGTTTCCCACTCACGAACCTGGATGGTCTTCCCGTTCCTGGCTCTAACGACATCCCCAGGCTTGTTGGCCTTGCCACTGGGCATATTTTCACAAAGAGGGGCCAAACCTATGAGAAAGAACACATGAAGGAACATGGAACGTGCTAGGTCCAACCATGCCATCTATAGGATAGGAGGCTGCTGGTGAGCCAACAGACGCATGCCAGACATAGATGCCACCTGAACCAAGTGACACAACTGAGATTGTGTGCATCAGCAGCAGGAAGCACATACCACCTTTGTAGCATTCTCATCCAAGGGTCTAGCTTGGTTCTGATCAAGAAGGACCAAATAAATGCAACTTGTGGAACACCAGGAAACTAAACTGGTCCCTTTAAAAGTGTCAAAGTCTAACACCCACGCACAGGAAATCAATGTGAGTCAATGCCCTGTATAGCTATCCTTATCTCAACCAACAAAAACCCTTATTCCTTCCTATTATTGCTTATACTCTCTCTACAACAAAATTAGAAATAAGGGCAAAATAGTTTCTGCTGGGTATTGAGGGGGGGAGGGGGGGAGTGGGTGGTAAGGGAGGGGGTGGGGGCTGGGGGGAGAAATGAACCAAGCCTGTATGCACATATGAATAATAAAAGAAAAATGAAAAATAAATAAATAAAAAGTTACATACAAAAAAAAAAAAAAAAGTGTCAAAGTCAAGAAAGAAAAAGAGCAGGAACAGGATTCTTGACTGAAGAAAACCAAGGGAGTATGTCAACCAAATGCAATGTGAGAGCCTTGATTGGCTTCTAGATTTAGAAACTAAATGCACACAAAATGGTATTTTTTAGATAATGGGAAATTTTAATTAGGTTATTGTAGTAATCCTCCTAAAGGTAAAGGCTATTGTCATTACACACAATGTCCTTTTACTTAGGAGACATGCTAAAGTATTCAGAGATGACATGATTTCAGCAACTTTCAAATACTACAGCAAAGAAAAAGGTCTGCCCCTGGGGGGACGAGGTGGGGAGGCACAAGTCAGACAGACTTACATCACATCCACCTTTCAATGTATGTGAACTGGCCAAGTCACATAACCTAAGTGTCTCTCTTCCCTCTTCTTCTGAAACATGGTATTGCTGACACTACAAATCCTGACACTGTCTGGGGAGTTGAGGTGCCAAGAACTGAGCATGTTTTCTGCCCCAGGCAATTTCTACACGTCAGGCACGTAATCAGCACAGCCAGGAAATCAGCCAGCAATGATGCCCTCCACACTGACTGCCAGCACTTTTCACTGGAGGAAAGCATAAACTTGACGTTTGTGCCCCAAGTGCTAACCACTTTTTGCAGAAGTAAAACAACTTAATTTAGTTAACAGTCCACAGGTAACAAGACACATTTAATTCAGTCAGCTTGGACATTAAACAATCATCTCAGCTAAACAGCATTTGCTACACGAAAAGCTATTTAACAACTGTCTCTTGATCTTTTACATAGAAGGAAACCATGTTTATTGGTTCAGCTCTACCACTTGACCTGATTCTAGAAGATCTACAAGATGTAGTCATTCCCTTTCCCACTTACCTACAATATTAATGGGCAAACTGAGCGTGGCAGCAGACACGATGGCTGAGCATATGGTTGCAGCTCCTCCCATGTCAGCCCTCATGAGGTCCATATTTGCAGAGGGCTTGATGGAGATACCACCACTGTAGAGAGAAAAGTGCATCATTAATAACTGAGACAAAGGCCAAATGACTGTCTTACAAAGAATATACATTGCCAGGTGTAGTGGTACACGCCTGTAATCCTAACACCTGGAAGGCTGAACAAGAGGATTCAGAATTTAAAACCAGCCTGGCCTATAATATAAAGCAAGATTCTGTCTCAAAAAACAAAACAAACTGGGCTGGAGGTATGACTCAAGTGGTAGAGTGCCTGCTTTGCAAGCATGAAGCTCTGAGTTCAAACCCTATTTGTACCAAAAAGAAACCAAAAAACAAACACATGCACGCACACACACAAAAATAAAGTAACAACAAATTATAGAGAGGTATTGTAGTTCTTACTATTTCTACTTGAGTGAAACTTAAGCAGTGCCACTGGAAACACTACTGTATAAAATTCCGTGTGCTTTTCTGCAAATTTTCTGAGTTGATCAGTTCCTGGAAGCTGAGCTCTGAAGAATAGTGGGAGCACTTCTTTCCAAACCACAGGACAGAGGGGTAACAATGTCTTCTGTGTGAGGCACAGAAAAAGAAAAACTCCTACCCAAGGCCTCAGAGATAGTATTGCAGCACCAGAGCTGAGTGAAGTTTCAATTAGCAAAAAACCAAACTATTTCCCCCAAACGGCTTACTACAGTATGTTTCTGCCTCCATTTGAGAATCCAGAAGCAATTTGCTTCAGAAGCCAGGCATACAGCCAGGAACATGGATTTTTGAGATCTGTAGATCTGCCCTGGTGACTCTTTGGAGAATTTTCTATTACCTGCTTTGAGGTCTGTCTTCCTAATTCTTACCTCAGAAACACTTGATAATTATATGGTTGGCATTTACGACTCAAGTTAAAGACTATCTACCTGCTCACAATAAGAAATATACTCTTGTTCCAAAAAGTCCAGGCTAACCACACAGGGCCATGGCAGCTGGCTATGCACATGGCATTCTTCTATCCACTTGTCACACTTATCCCAAGGCCTTTCTGGGAGCTCTGCTATCTCTGCCTACACCTACAGGTAAACAGCAGCACTTACCTTTGCTCACCTTTCATTTCTTTTCTACTACATCCACTATAGTTGACCACCCTTTGTCACTGGAATGTTTGCCTGGGCTCCTCAGGTCTCCCTAACAATCTTACCACTTCCATTTCATTATCCACATAGACATCACATTTTTATCCGTCCCCTTCCACCATACCAAATAAAACAAAACCTATCCTAATCAAAATCTCAGTGGACTTTTGTGTTAAGAACAAAAAACAAAACAAAAAAGAACAATGACAAACAATTCTAAAATCTGTAGGCAAATCAAAGGTCCAAGCTAAAGTCATTCTCCAAACTGAAAGGTTCATGGTAGATTTAAAACCAATTCAAAGCTAAAGAATGAAGATAACTTTGTCACAGAGTACTACTGACAGGATACAGGGTACAAAGATAGATCCATAATTATATGGTCAATTGATTTTCTACAACGGTGCCATGGGGAAAGAACAGTCTTTTCAACAAACAGTGCTGAAATAAGTGAGTATCTATAAAGGGCAATAGTAAATAATAATAGTAATAATAGAATCTCAGCCCTTTTCACACTATTCACAAAAATTCAAAGTGTATCACAGCCTTTAAGGCTAAACTTAAAAACTAAAATGTCTTATAGATGAAAACACAGACTGGCATATGCAATACTTTCTCAAGGCAAAAAAAAGCACAAAATAAAACACAGATACATTATACTTCATCACAACAAAAAACTTCTGTTCTTTAGAAGACAACACTAAAAATATGAAAAGGTGAGCCCCAGATTGCAGAAAAATATTCCTCACTGAATAACACATTAAAAAAAAAAAAAAAAAACCAACAAAAAATAGTAACACCTAATAAGCAGTTTGTATTCAGAATACATTTAAAAAAAAATAAATTTGTAAGACAAATATCCTATTAAAAAAAAGGACAGATTTAAAGAAATGCCTAAGAAAGAAGATACACCACTGGTCAAATGTGCTATGTCACTCATTCGTCATCAGAGAAGCACAGATGAAACCACATACGAGCCCAGTAGCATGGCAACAATGGCAAGGACTGACAGTCCGAGTCATGCTTTTCTTACCTGTAGAATGGCCATAGACCTAGCTCATAGGGGTAAAAATAGAGCCAATATACGTATAATGCCTGATAGTCTCTGAGACATATGAGCATTCCATAACTGGTAGCTTCACACATTTAATACAACATGTAAGACTCAACCAAACACCATGATGATGAACCAAACAACATCAAGTACATACAAAGTAGTCACAAAAACACAAACCACAGATGCCCCACCAGGAACTACCTGTCAAAGGTAATTCCCTTTCCGACCAGAACAAGGGGTGCTTCACTTGCACTGGAGCTGCCTGTATAGTGGATTTCCAAGAAGACTGGAGGCTCATCAGACCCTTTGGCCACGCTTAGAAATGAACCCATTTCCTGCTGCTCAATCCAAGACTTGGGTCTGCAGGGACAAAGGGGGGAAAAGGAGATACACTGTTTATTATGAAACAACTTAGAAAAAGCTCAGCAGAGTGCTAAAAAGAAAAAAAAACTGTACAAACAGATGCACTTAAAATCTATATAGAGACTGAGGTGTGGCTCAGTAGTAGAGTTTTTGACTAGCATTCAAGGAGGCCATAGGTCCATCCCTAACACCAGGAAAAAAACCCCAAAAAAACCTATAGACAAACATGTTAAAACATCAGTAATCATATCCTATTTTATTTGCTTTTTGTATACTCTTGGATTAGTCACTTGATTCTGAATAAGATTATAGAATTACCAACAGAATTTATGCATGATAACTAAAACAATGTTAGACAATAATCTATGGCCAATAAATGGTAACTACTCCTACCTACTCAAATATTTCTGAAGAAATTCAAAGATGAAATTAGCAAGGTTCTGAGACCACAAAGGGTGCTTTATGATATGTAAAGCATTCGTTGCTATATCTAAAAATGATAAAAATGGGCTGGAGGGTGGCTCAAGTGGTAGAGCACCTGTCTAGCAAAGCATGAGGCCCTAAGTTCAAACCCCAGTACCACCAACAGAAAAGACTGTAATTAAAAAAAAAAAAAACAACCAACAAAACCCAACAAAGCTATACTACTTTGACTGGAATAAAACATCGTATTTCTTTGCTTTTTTAGAATTGCTGGAATTCTACTTTTTCAATGCTGTCACACTATTTCTCACAGTTTGAAATGTCTCTTAAGTGGGAGAACTAATTAGTTCTTACTTAATAAACACAGGACCAACGGAGATAATGGAACTAAAACAGTTCTTAGTGCAAACTAGAAAATGGATACAATATTGTTAAGGGTACTTTGTATTGATTTCTGGCCACAACAAGTAGGTCTGTACTTCCAGACAGACCAGCAGCACCAGATTCAAGGAAGAGTCCTGCACGTGCCCATCTATTTATTGGTACTATTAAAGTAGGACTTCCATCAAACATCAAAGGGAAAAGAATAAAAACATTAAAAGTCATGTCAAAAAAAATGACTGTACCATAGAGGCATTTTTGATCACAAACTCAGTAACTGATGTTTTATGAAGGCCTGCCCTTCTGAAAGAACTGTTTGTATTTCTTTCATGCATACCCACCTACACTGGCCAGGGTTTGATGCAGCTACGTCTCAGCTTAATGAATCACAGGCCACCCACACATCTTGCCTGGTCTCTGGCTGACCTCTTCCCTCTTCTCTCCATAAATCTTGAAGTTTCCTTCAAGAGGCCACTGCACACCTGCCCTCCCACCCGAAGCCCCCTGAACTCTTAGCATTAATGTCTAAGTGACTTCAGGACTCTGCTAGGCTGCATATCCTTTCACAGCCCAACTCATCCATCTGCTACATTACCCTTCCTTCACCTGACTGTTCCCTTCCACGAGATTCTCACTCTGAAGATAAGAACCACTACTGTGCACCTTTGATGACCTGGTGTATGACAGCACTATTTGCTGACACAAGGTAGCTCTGGTATCTCCCCACATGGGGCAAGGCACAGTGTCTGCCACGAAACCTCTATAAAGTCTACACATCATTATAGATTTAAACACACACAAACTATTCCAGAGGAATTCACAAGTCCTAAATTCTGTGTTTTCTACACATTATACAAATTTTTCTTTATTATCTAGCCTGTAGGGGCTTTCCTGAGAAACATGAACTCTAATCACATTAACTACTGAAGAATGGATGAAACAACTTTGATAATGAACAATCTTTAGGTAAAGCACTGTCTGTCCACTTATCTTCTACTTAGAAGTCCCCAAATGCTCAAATTAGGACTGCTTAAAGAGTTGTGGAGAGTGTTAAGTGTAATGGAACCTGGAGGAATGGAATAGGACTTGAGTCCAACATCCCAGCAGTGACCACCACACTCAGGAGGCTAATCAGTTTCATCCAGCAATTCAACTCCTAAATATACACTTGAAAAGAAATGAAAACAAATCCCCACAAACACGCAACTGTTCCCAGCATTATTCACAGCTGAATACAACAGGAGAAGGTGACAGAAACAACCCAAATGTGCATCAACCGAGGCTTGGAGGAATGGGAAATGAGGAATGACTTTCTAACTGGGTATATAATTTCTACTGGGGTAGTGAAAACGTTCTTATTATTGACTGTAGTCACAGTAGCACAACTATGTGGATATACTAAATCATTGAATCACACACTTTAATGGGCAGAATTATGCCTCAATGAAGCTAAAAGAAAATGCACCCACACAGTATGAAGTCATGGCACCCTCTTAAAGTCAAGGAAAGGTAAGATACAAATAACCTCAAACTGAGCCCTGTCCTAGCCTGTGGATGGCTGCTGGTGCATCATCTCACCTCTCTGGGCTCAAGTTACTTCACCAAACAGAAAGGGGGTTGGCTATTAGGAAATCAAAGGCTCCTTCTGGCTGTAACATCCCGAGTCTGAGTTACCTGATATGAACCTCTGTTTTACTACTCGCACTTTTGAGTTTCTTCTCAATAATTTCAGCAAATCTGGTTGGCGTCATCTCATTGGCTGGTGTCTCCATCAAGTGACGAGCCAAGTTCTGCCCAGAAGCAAAGAGGACTCCTCTCTGCCAGGCTTCCTGATCCCCACTGTAAAAGAAAACAGTTACTGTCAACTGATCTCAAGAACATTGACCATTTTGCACCTAGAAGAGACTCTTAGCTTGCAAAACTAGACAAGACTACAAATAAAGAATGGCTGCAGCAGACTTGATCCATCATGTACCTGACCCAGGTTGCAGACAGTATGCAAAGAGCAAAAAAACAAGCCCTGCTGAGGGCCTAGGGAGACCTAGCCAACCAGTTCACTTCAGAATCCTCCCTGCATAAAAAGTGGGACTGGGCTGATGGGTCTTTGAAGCTGGAAGTCCACCTCAAATGCTGATGGACAGGCTCCTACATAAAGGCTCACTTTGTTCTTCACCGCACAGGGATCATATAGCCCCAGGTACTAATAGTAAAGCAGGCATTCAACAACTATTCAGATGTGGAGTTGGAGGCTTTGCCACCTTCTTTTGCCTGTGTCAGGGCTCTAAATCCTAACCCATGGATAGCAAGGATTAGCTTTAGAGAACGCACAAAACCATGTGTTGCATGATCTTGGCTCTTCCTGTTTGTGACAGAAGTTAGTATGAGCAGAGTGGAAATGGATAAAATAACAGCTGATAGTTGGAAGATGTCATCGTACTTGACGTGCTCTGTCTTTGGATCATTCCAGAAACAATGAAATTGTTAGTACAACTCTACCAAGGTTTGTCACTGAACTAGGTCACCCCAAGTAAGTGGTGGAGCCAGGGTTAAAAAAAGTGGGTAAGTCAGGAGTAAGTCTGACTTACTGCAAAACCTCTTCTGCTAACCATCGGCTATGCCGAGGGCTGCCCACTGCCCTCACAGCACCCTGTACTGGAGGCCTCATACTATCTGTTCCTGACAGAGTGACAGAGGGGACCTTTTCCCTCAGAAGCCAGAATAGGGCTACAATGTAACAGACCACAGGGACCTCAGGGACAAAGACCTGTGCAGCTCTAACATTTAGGATGATGTTGCCCATCCAATGGAAGTGATCTGGACTGAATCATCCAGGTGCTGGGATGCATCTGTCATGTCATTCCTCCCTCTCAGTGAAGAGCCAATATGGGGACAAGGGAGAAATATGCACATGACAAGAGCCAGGATCAGAGCTTGGTAACAGTTACCACACTATTAAAATAGCCAAGGCAATAGGGAGGTTACAAACAAGCCATATAGCAGTGTCCAACACTGAAAAGCAGTCAGCTTATCTCCAAAAGGCCTTGTTGTCAAAACACCAGTGAGTGCCACCCTCAATCTGGCTTCCTTCATCACCTTCCGTAGAGCTTCGCGGACACAGCCACCTTCTTCTTCTGCTTTAGGTCATCATATTCATAGAGCCCAAGCATAGCTCCTTCTGCAGCAGCCTGAGGATCTCCACAGGGATCCACCTCCACAGAGGACAGCTCCAGGTCCTGAACCTGCCTGCACCCAGCTTCGTGGAGACACAAAATCCAGACAACTGGAGTCAGTCAAAGATCAGAGGAATAGGAGAAGGCAGAGGTGTCAGGCAGTACACTGAGGAAACAACTGGGGTTCAAGTCCCAGCCCAGACACTTGACTCTTCTGAACCTCTTTTCCTCCACTGTAAAAGATGACGGGCATGCACCTCACAAAAAATGCTGCACACAGACAGAAAGACCAAATCCACAGCAAATCACATAGAAGAGGCCTCAGCAAGAGGCCATTCTTACTAGTAATATTTCTGAAACACTGGGGTTTCAGAAGGAGCGTCCCAATCACTAAGAACTGCCCAGATTAAAAGGGACAGAGAAATAATGACATTGAAATTATACACAAGCAACTGAGCAAAGTCCCATCATTGACACAGAATTTTATTAAGATCATGTCAGCAAAAACTCGCAAGTAAAAGTTATGAAACAACCACTTAACATGAACTTTCAAACTTTAACAAGCATTTATGATACTCACAGAGCCAAGGATTAGTCAACAAATTATTGATGCTTCAGAATGTTTCGTGAAGCACATTTTGGCTGGTCTCTCCATGGTAAAGGTCACCTTTGTTGCTCAGCTCTGGAGTGACTTAATTGCGCCTACTATAATTATTGAAAGCCACCCACCTGGCAAACTGGGACAGGCACAAGCCTTTTGTTAGTGATGAACAAGCACCCCATACCCTGCTCCCACTTTCTCTGATTTGCAAATACAACGATTCCACTGTAAGATGAACAGTTTGGCAATACCAGGGTTTTATTAGCAAAAGGAAAATAATTCATACAGCACAATTTCTGATAGAATACAGTTCTAAGATTAAATGGTAGTAAAACCTCCCATCAGAAAATATTAAAAATAAATCAATTACAAGGCCAAGCATATTCATAAGGAGAAACTGAATTTACTAATATGGGCTAATCTGTTGGAACATGGTAAGGGTGGTGATAGTGGAACAAAGGGGGAGGAGAGACAGTCTTAAAAGAATGGACCCACAAGAATCTTTATCAATATTAAAAACATCAAAAGCAAAATAACCTGCAATAGCAGTTCTGATGTTTTCTTTGCCTTCGTGCCAGTTCTCCTGGTCATCGACTCCAGCTGTCCTTTTGCCAAGGCCAACAACCACCACGCTGGGGAAGTCCTGATCCACAAACACACAGAATTAGCCATTGTGTTTCTTTAAAGTGTTCCCTTCTAACTGGGAACCTTACATGGTGAGACTCACTGAGCTCCTACAGTCACTGTGCCCTCAGCACAGAGAGTCCTTGTGTCTTGGTAATAATGTCACAATGTGTGTATTTGAAAGGCAGAGTAAGGATAACCTTGCAAATAATTCTACATAAGACAAGGCCCAGACTGAAGGAAGCACAGAGCAAAGCATACAAGAGAGGCAGTAGATAGCCATTTGTCTCTATATAGCCTTAAACCATACTTAGGCTTAATGCTGGAATAAAACTATAGATGACCCAAAACAAAATATCTGGATGACTGGGCAGCCACAGTAATAGGCCCACAGGAGGTACTCACTGTGGAGTTTACTGAATAAACATAATCTTCACATCATACCTGATGTAGACCATAAAAGGTTCGGGTTTTGCCTGCCTTCAGAGGTGGTCCAGATCTAAATAAAGCAAGAGAAAATGATTGTTTTACAAATTACAGTTTGCACTGCTTTCTTGGGACTATGCCTTTTGCATTATCACAATATTCTGCTACTGTGTCTGTGTGTTAGGTCACAGTTAGCCCTAAGTGATGGGGATATGCAAAGGGAAACTAAAATGGAGGTCTCTGGAGGAAAACGTTGTAATTCATGTTTCGAATTCTTAACAGTCTCTGTTAAGATCAAGGCAGTCCACCAAACATCACAGGATACTTTTAAGTCTGCCACTCACCTAAAGCTTACTCCTTTCTTTATTCCATATGATGCATTGTAGGCATCATATGGACCTAAGACTGGGAATTTCACACAGGTAATCTCTTTAATTTAGCATGTACATAAACTTCACCCTAGGGATCCAGGGGGATCGGAGGATGGGAATTCCTCTTGGGCAATCTCAATATTCCAACTCCAAAGGCTGAGATTGTTGGACCCCGTTCAGTGTACTGAAAGTGTGTTCCTTTCCTAATAAACTTTGCTATCACTTTCACATCTTTCCTGAATTCTTCTCTCACTGAACACCAGGAACAAGGTAGACAGCTGTGCTGACTTTCCAGTAACATGTGGATTTTGCTTCCCTTATGTTTTTAAATTTTGTTTTGTTTTTGGTGGTACTGGGGTTTGAACTCTGGGCCTTGTGCTTACTAGGCAGGCCCTCTACTCCTGTATAGTTTTAACAGAATGCTCTCAGATCAAATTTCTTAGATGCAGCACTTTTAATCCTAGCTCAAAAACTATTTAACCAACTTCCAGATTAGACTTAACACGAATTTAAGTAAAAAGGTCAACGGAAAGCAATGCCATGGATGGGCAAGATGCAGCCATAGAGGGCATCTGAACACTAGATACTGACTGAGCTGAATGACTCTTAAACCTTCCCACTAAATGAGAAAATTCCACAGTGGCTGACTTGACTTGAAGTAGTGTGTTTGGCATAGGGGCTGCAGTAGAGGCTTATCTGAATGAGGGACTGGGCAATTTCCAAACTAAATGGCTACTCCACTGTACGCAGCAGCCTGGAGCACAGAAAAGCTGGAGCTGCTCAGTGATCCCGCAGGGAGGTCAGGGTTTGGATTAATGACTTAAGGCACTTGTGGCGGATGCAAATTCTGTAAACCACCCATTGGATAATTACTGTAAATAATTAGACTGCATGTACTAGATTCTAACAGATTATCTATAATCTGAACAGTATTCAGTTACCTAGCTTATGTTGACACTAAAATTTCCCTACTTTTCTCTAGACCTTAACAAATCCAAGAGTGGTCAGATTTCAGGCCCTTCCCAGGCTTTCTGAATTTGAATCTGCATTTTTGCAATATTATCTGGTGATCCACTTGTACTTTAACATTTCAAACAGGAAATCAAAGGGCAGAACCTTAGGCTGTTTTAAACTATTTGGTTAAAGGACAATGAGAGCCTGGTAGGAAGGCAGGAGGGAGGGATTAGGGAAAAGAGAATTGAGCCACAGGGTGGGCTAAGAAAGTTGGTACTTTCCAGATCCTGGGTCAATCCTTCACAAGAGGTTTAGGATTTTATTTGAAAACCATGTGACTTCCCAGAACTGCAGCTCCACCCATACTGAAACACAAAGTGCCAAAGAACTTGCAAAGACCACTACTTTCACTTCCACAGGAGTTCTTGGCCAGAGTACTTCCCTGCATTTTATCTACTAACAATGAGCATATAACAACATTCTCTTTCCATGTCTTTTAAGAACTGGAACCCCCAGGTAACACTTACATGTTCAAAATTTCTCTAAGCTTTCCAGCCACCGACTTATCAAAATCCTCTCCTGCACTTGTAAACTGTGGCACGCCATCTTCTTTGTCTTTGGAATAGATTCCTAAAACAAGACCCTGAGGAAATATGAATATAATCAGAGTAGAGCCCTTAGAGGGACTCAAAGGTCCCTGTATTCCAGAGGAAGAAAATAATTCCACCAAAATCATGTCTCCTTAAAGATGGAAGAACAAAGGCAAAAAACAGCAGCTCTGGGCAGCCAGCTGTGTGTGTGTTCCACCTCAGTGATTCAGCTTCTCAGTCAGCAAGACCAAAAGGAACTTACGGTCACCACCAGGAAAGACCTTCACTTTTAAAAAGAGCAGTAAGGAGTCTTCTTTAAGAAAACAAATCTACCACCAAGGCTAGATCCTAAAGGACTTCAGAACATACAATCCCCAAAACCAACACTTTAGTCTATGGATTACTTAGGCTGCTGGCACTTGAGAGACAACCAACATAGGCAGGACTCTTGGACATCCCCCTTTCTACCTACAAGCAGGGCCTAAGACTTCCTACAAGAGATGCCCTTTCTACACCAGAAAACATAGGACATTCTTACTCTGGAGAGTAGGAACCCATTCCAAAGTGGAACTGTACACACACCTGCTGAAATAAGCTGTTTTCCCTATGCATTTCCCAGCCTATAACTTACTGCTGGAGCCTAAGACCCTTTGTCTTATCACTCCCCACAATTCATCTTTCTTTGTTTAAAAAGGTATATAAGCTTTAGAGCCTAACACCTGCTTCAGGTCTTCATTTTCTTTTTGCTGACTCCCATATATATATCTTTGACCATTAAATGTGCTGGTTTTTAAAATAATTTTGGCACTTGCAATTACGTTTTAACTTCTGAAAACGTAAAAACACCAAGTTAAATTCATATGCTCTTCTCTTGTTAGTATGTCTATTGCCAGTTCAATTCTTAGGCCTAGGTTTCCCTCCCCTATACCTTTTAAATGCAGCTATTCTGGGATTACTTTCACAAGCCCAGAGCCCCCAACATCTGAAATAAGGAAGTAAACTTGTAGTTCATCTTTTGATTTTATGTGTGGCAACCTGTAGTTTGAACAATGTTTGAGTTGCCTTAGGGCTACTCTGAGTTGGAATGAACACTTTGTCTTTTTCCCACTTGCCAGATAAGGAAACTGAAACCTGTCTGACACCATAGCCATGGAAGGTAGACTGAAGTGGTGGAGAATCCTGTCCTTGGTGCTTTCCACAAAGCCACAGGTACTTTGGCCAGGTTCTAGTTTTCCTAAGATTGCTCTTTCCTAGGGATTCCAAGCGACCAAGTGGAGAACTGAGGGGACAGGACACAGTTACCTGGGTAGGACTGGCACAGTACTGGGAAGAGCACTGTACAGCTGTCTGTCTGATCTCTCTGCCCTCTGTGACACCCACAGGAGACCTGAGCTCAAATCCCATCTAGAACACTCTTTCAGGTCCTCAAGCATGACTTCTTCCAATGAGCCACTCCTTTCCAAATCCTTCACATCTGAATAGTGTCCTTCGTAATTTCTTGGAGCTCAATTAGGTGAAGGCTTTTCCACTGGAAGACACTCATCTCTCTATAAAGCCCTTTTTCCCTGGAAAAACAAGGCTTTTCTTAAGAAACCCTTCTGGGCAACATTACTCCCGAGACCTTTCTGACCTTTCACTTCAGCCGGGGGAGGGGGTCTTGGTGTGGAGCCAGGGCCTTGTGACTGGCTGTCTTTGGGACCTTAGAGGACGTTTGAGACAGCAAGCACTGCACCGGCCTTTCTTGGGTTACCGAGGACCAAAGTGATGAATGAAATGAGTTTGAGGAATTTTTTTGGCGCTGAATGAGATGGAGACTGAAAAACAGAGAGAGGGCTCAGTAGATGGTCACTAGGTTATTCTTTTGCCCAGAAAGTTCAGAACCCAAAGCACTAGCAGCAAGCAAGGAAACGCCTCTCAGGAAACAGCCATTGGGGGAAGCCTCGGGGACACCGGACCGGTCTCCGCCCCAGGCCAGTAGGGTCAATCCCCTGCACACGGGAGAAACTTTCCTTCTTAGCTGGTTTCTGCAACTTGGCGCAGAACCCCCCCATGCTGCGGCCTTCACCCACCCCGCAGCCCCCGTGGCCCGCGGGCAGGGCCTCCGGGGTGGAGCCGCCACCTCTCACCTTCGTCATGGCTGCAGCTGCGAGACCCTGGCCCCAGAGACACCTCACTCCTAGACGTCGGACGGCGACTCGCGCGGCAGCCGGAAGAGGCAGCAAGAACATCTTCTGCGATGCCCCTCGCGCCGCCCTCCTGCGAGCACGTGGCGCAGGGAGGACGAGCGCGCGCCGGGGGGGGCGGGACCACCGGGGTCGCCGGGCGCGCGCCTAGGCAGCCCGACAAGCGTAAGGGGGCGGGGCGAGCGGGCGGGGGGGGCCGCCTAAGGGCGGGACTTTGAGCGGCCCGCAGACGGGCTGCAGCGCAGGGGCAGCGTGCACACGCCTGGGGCGGGGCTCTGGCGAAGGCGCCCACGCGCGCGGCCGGACCTGGCAGGAGGCCAGCGCCGGCGCGCTGGGGCGGGAGCGGGGGCGGGGCAGTTAGGTACGCGCGCCGCCGGCACTCGGGGCGGTGGTGGGGTGAGCTCGATTCTAGGACGGACCTCAGGGGCGTACCGGCGTGCGCATGCGCCTGCAGGCAGGGGCGGAGAGCTGTGCTCCAGTTCTTTCCCTTTCCCACATCCCTTCCCCACCCCACCTCCGCCCGCCCATTCGCCCCTCGCACCCCTTTCACACACACACACACACACACACCCCTCCCCCCCTTTTTTTGGCAGTACTGGGGTTTGAACTCAGGACCTTGCTGCTTGCCTTGCAGGCACTTTCGCTTGAGCCACTCCCCTAGCATCCTAACCCTTTCTTGAAGGCTGGGTGCGGTGGGGCTGGTGGATCAGCTTAGGCCTCCACGTTCTGTAGGTAAAGTGGAGTTGCACCATAAATTCAGCAAATTGGCCAAAATTCATCTATTGCATTAATGTTATAGCTTTTGCTTCCTCTCCACAGGAGAGATCAGGCTGCCACCTCACAAGGGAAAAGGGACCCTACCAGGTCCCTTGTGAGTGGGGGCTCAGCGCCCTTCTGGGGGCCCACGTCACAGTGCTGTAGTTCACACTTGTCATCTCACTTTAGCTGCCTTTGGTCCCTCTGTTTTATTCATTTGAGACCCCAAGAGGGTTTTCTGGCATATTATTTACTTTCCTCTTTGCTTCAAGGACATACCATTTACATTTTTGTGCCTAATGCAATAGGGAGAAATGCGTTTCACAGCCCTGAAACAACTCAACAATAACTTTCTTTTCATTCTGGGATAAAAGATTTAGCTACCGATTAAACCCTGAATTTATAAATTGCTTACTATGTTTTTTCTAGTAGAAATCATGAGGTTAAAAAGTACTTAAAACAGTGTCCCTGTCCTCAAGGACTTTATTATTGTAGGGGAGACAAAACTTTTCCCCTTAGGTCTCAAAGTGGGACTGAGAATTAAGTTGGCCAAAGACAGACTAACAGGAGAAAAGCATATAAACTTCACTTAATAATTTTGCATGTACCTGGGAACCCTCATGGGAAAATGAGGATCCCAGAAGTGGTTAGGCCTAAGTGTTTATATACTGAGTTTGAGGCATGATAGACAGGGCAAGGTGACAGGGAAATTAGAAAACATGAAAATAAGCCACAGTTAGGAGCTAAGATTAAAATAAAATCACTAGAGCAGAAAAGGTGAATTAATCATTTAAGCACTCATCTGCATACATTCCTTCCATTACATTCCTCTTCCTTTAGATGTTAAGTGAGTTACAATTTCCTTAGATGAGTAGTTTGGCCTGAGAATAGTAGGTAATTCTTTGAACAGAAAGGAATGTTCAAAAGCACAAGAACCAGATGCCCATGTCATAAGACCCTTTGATTGTAAAGCCGCCCTAGACAGATCCATGATTGGGCAATAGTAAAGGCACCCTAGACTCCTCTCCATGTTTGGGTGGTAACATTAAAATAGGAATAGAGGTTGTCACTCTTTGCCCTTGTGTTTCTTCTTGTTTCATTCTGCTTTACTAATAATCTTTGCTAGCCCCTTATCTCATGAACCCTTTTGTGAATCTCTTTGAAATTCTTTTTGTCATTGAACTCAAAGCCTAGAAACTGGAGGGTAATTGGGGTGCAGAGTGAATAAACCCCCACTCTTATTGAGGATATATCCTCACACCAGATGCTTCCCCAGGAAGAGATTGAACAGAGTCAATATAAGTAACATTATAAGGAAGCTAAGGTTCACCTGTTTCTCCCTGCTTTGGCTCCTCATTTCTGATGATAGTGATTTTTACTCCTGGAATGGAGAGAGGATTGTTTATGCAAGAGTTTTGTCTTCTGCTTTCAAGAAGAAAACAGGGAGCAAGTGTATCCTTCATGCATTTGCTGTTTTTTAAGTGCCTATAGCTCAGAATAATTTCTGTGCCTAAGTGGCATGTTTTGGGGTAGCATATTCTGCCATCCTTCATTATCTAGTAAAGGTGAGAAATACTGTGATTATAAAATGATTTTTAAACAGACTTTCATATGGTTATATGTGAATATATGCTACAGTTTGGATCTACAGTTTCCCCAAAAATTTCATGTATTAAAGGCGTTGTTGCTAGCTTGTGTTGTACTGGAAAGTGGTGGAACTTTTAGGAAGTGAGACCTAGTAGAAGGAAGTTGGTTTATAGGGTGTCTCTGAAAGGGATATTGGACCCTGGCCACTTCCTGTCTCTGTCTTTACTTCCTGGCCACCATGAGGTGAACAGACATTATTCACCATGCACTCTCAATATGATGTACTGTGCTACTGCAGATCCAAAATATCAGGGCCAAGTACCTATGGACTGAAACCTCCGGAACTATGAGCAAAAATAAATCTTTCCTTCTTTCAAGTTGATTATGCTAGGCATTTTGCCACAATGTTACCAGAATTTTAGGGCAAAAGACCCAGCTCCAGAAGTTCCAACAGACCAGGCTTGTCTACCTGTCCCAATATGCCAATTGAAGAAGCAAGTGGTGGTGAAGGGCAGAGAAAGGTGATTTAATCCATGTGGTGATGTCAGGAAGAACAGATAAAGGTGTTCACTGACCCCTGGTCCATCTTCTAAGGGTAAACAGAAACTCTGATTTTTTTTTAGAAGAGGGAGACAAAGAACGGGGTTGTGGTATGCATAGCTGACCAAGCAGGTGATCTTGATCAGGCCCAGTGGTCTGATTGATTCTTATCTCAGTTCTAGTTCTGAAGATATTGTTATCACTGTCATCATGTCATCACTTGGGGAAATGATCTGATCCACATGAGATGATTACTGTTGCTCCAGGGTGCTGCCTCATTGCCTTATGGAATTTCCCTCATTTGAAGGGCAATTTGTCCTGCAAAGATCTCCATTGCTTAGCGTTAGTTTCGGTCCCTGATCATAAAGATATTTATTGATCAGTCCTGTTGTTCTGGAATTCAAGTTGACTGCAGGATATAGAGACTCAGAAGGGAAAGTGAAAGCGAAAAAATAGAGCCAAGAGAAGGACAAAATGGAGTTAGTCCAGTGACCAATGCCTTCCCTTAACATGGGCAGAAAGATTAGTAATACTATATGCCAAGTTCCATCTCTCCCTTCTTTACTGGATCAATGCCATTCCCTCCAGGTGTGTATGTGCCTCCATGTGTGTATGTGCCTCCCTTGCCTCAAAGTACTAATCATCAGTACTCTGCTTATTTCCCACAGACATCCTGGGAGCAAGGACTTTTACCTCTGGGTATCCAGTGCCTAGATTTAGCATCTAGACTATGCCTATTAACTATACAAGGTGCTCATAAAATATTCGAATTAATGAGTGATCAAGGTGGAGTAGCATTCATAATTAAAGTACAGGATAGGTGCTGTTTATGGCTTGCAGATAATTAACAGCAGAATGAGAACATTGAGGGGGACATTAGGACGAGGAGAAGTGTGTGGGAGGGTGTTGGCTTGGCTTGGGGTGGAGTGATCAGGCCTGCCTAGAATAAAAGGTAGGTAATAAAGAGGATGATGCTGGTTTAAAGAGATTCTTGAAAGGCAGGAAGCAGAGTTTATTTGGATATAAGAGTCAGCAAGGAGCCAACAATGTACTTTGTACAAGCTGGATGAGAGTAAAGGTGTGGTTTAGTACAATTGATGGTTGTTGGTGTTCAGGGTAGAGAAAACTGAGCAGTGTAGGGAAGGGTCATGCTTCAGAGGAAAACTACACATTACGAGACACTCTTGTGTCTCCTTTGGGTTGTCTTATTCAGGTTCTATGGGAGCTCTTCCACAGTCATGTAAATTCTAGATAGTTCTGAGCTGCAGTCCCACCTTATCTATACATACACAAGTTGTTCTGTTCAATAGTGGTACAATTAACAGTTCTTCTTTCCCTGTTGGAGACAGGGAAAATAGCCAGTTTTGTCTCCATTTGCATATTCATTTCAATACTCCTGGTCTAGAAATACATCCATTCTTAGAATTCTCTTTGAGCCAGGCACAACACTGTGTGATTCCTTCATGGGTTAAATAAAAGCTTTAATGTATTCATTTTTATTTCTTTTTTGGGGAAAATTTTTATTTTTTTTTAAAAAATTATTTTTTGATGTCAAGTGTTGCTAACATATGTAGCTCAGATTGTCCTCCAACTCACAATGATCCTCCTGCCTACATCTCCTGAAAGCTGGGATTATATGTTCCACTGCATCCAGCTGGTGGATATTTCTGTGGAGCTTTTGTTCTAGTGGAGGGAAATGCACAATGAATGGAATACCTAACCAAATTGTACAATATATTAGGAAGTGATGAGTGCTATTAAAAGAGAGAGAGTGCAGTTGGATAAGGGGCTTGGAAACAACCAGTGAAGGAGACATTACTTTTGATGGAACTTCCTAATTGACTCCATTTGAGAAATGAATGGTAGAATCAGCTAGATATAGGCTTATGAGTGTGGGTGTTCATACACAAGGGCCTGGTTTAGAGCCCAAAAACTCCCTTCCTTCTTAGGAATGGAGAAGCTGTGAAGGAAAGCTATTATGTTTAATCTTGTATGTTAATTTTGAGTAACCATGGGATATCAGAGCTGGAAAAAAACCCAGCAGGGCTTGACAGAAGATGCAGACTTTCACAGGGTGAGTTCAACAGTCAGGAAACAGGATGATTTTCCTAAAGAAGCGATCACAAGCAAGATGAGCAAAAGGAAAGATCAGAGCCTTGGAA